AAGATTGAGAACAAACAATGGACAGATATAGTACAATAGACACACAAGAAATCAGAGAGTATTAGGCAATGAAAACTCTGAGATTTGGAAAGATTTGGTCATCAGCTTGCATGCAGGAAAGTTTAGAGAAAAAATGGGAATATGAAATGAACAGAGACTGTTGAAGTCTGAGCAATTAGGAGCAACGAAGATCAGATATCTCAAAGAAGACGATGCAGCAAACAATGCCAAACAATTAAGCAAACTTACAAGGAATAAAGAATAGCACTTTGGAAATCATCTTGGCAACTCAAAGCTTTATACCTTACTTGCTCTTTGCTCCTCCGTGTTATTCTTGTATTGATTTGATTACTTAATACAAGAGTTAGTTAAAGATTATATTTGGTTCCAAATATAAAACCTCAATATATTTTGTTTTTCAAATTTATAATTTATTCTCAAAAGTTGTCATATCGATTATACATATTAAGGGTTTCCTTTCAAGGGGTAATCATGAACGAAAAAAATACTCTAACGAAATGAACTTTTATTTATTTTAAACAGCTAATTTTCTTATCTATTTAAATTAATTAAATAACTTTTATATTAAAGACTAGAGATACTATAATTTATTATTTCAGATTTTTACTCATCACTTGTCTATATATTTTCAAAGATTTAACTATTGATAAAGCACTCAATAGCATTGTGTTGTCTATAGCCAACACCACCTATGATAATTCTTGTATTTTAGAAAGCATGCCATTATTCTCGCTCTATTCTGGATTGCAATACCAATAACAGATCTTGAGTAAAATAATTTACTCAGTCATCAATTGAACCAATGAGTGCTTTTTTCATCCATTTCCTAGCACATCTTCACTGTAAATTCTATGTTGGGACATGTAAATATAAGTAAATATGATCCATGGGGTCTGAAGAAATCACATGCATACACGTGTATATGATCAAGAGCAATACCACGTAAGCTGGAAGATATCGCTTCTTAATTAAATATCAATTAACGTGCCACTGGACCATTTTATACAGAGCATGACAATCCACCATCTTACTAAGAATCGTAAGCCGAATCTTTCCCTACTGATGCTGCAATATTCTGTGTCTTCATCTCACCCAAAGGCATCACACAGAAATGTATAAATTGGAATCTCAGGGTTAAAGTAATCACAGAGACTCATAATAACAAAAACAAAGAAAAAAAAAGATCAAATTATCAACACTAGATATGCAGGTAAGTACGCATTTGGATATCATTATTCAGCATATGCATCTTGCACGTCGAGCCTCATAGATATCTGTTTTGATGTGTGACAGCAGATTCTTTACTGGCTCTGTAAGAGATCACATGAACCAGAAAGAAAGATCAGTAAAAAGACTGAAAGTTTCTGTGAGATATTTTTCCAAACTGTTCTGTTTCAGCATCCACAAAATGGAGGAAGTACAAAACTTAAGTATGAAGATGGATAATTCTAATCATTAATCCTGTGGATGTATTTAATTATGCGGTACTATTTTCCTTTTCAGATCAAGATGCTGAAGGGAGAGATATAATTCTAGTTGATCAACACGGGTTGTCTCGCAGGACAAAGAGAAACGAAGAGAGGAAACTTGGGTGCAAGGATCTGATGATATTTGCTTTCCTATGCAGAAAAGATATTCCAAAGGCTTGCATTTCCAGCACCGTTAACCTGGAGAGACTAGCAAGCTTATTTTAACAGAAGACTAAATGATCCTGTGTACCCTATGAAGATGATGAGAGAAGAATTATCCATAAGAATAGGGATCATTTTCAAACTCAGATACTACGGATGAAACTAAAAGTGATAAAACAGAAACTGTTTTGAGAATAAAAGAGCTTGTTGGGTTGATTTGGCTCCTGCTGCTTCTAAAGCAGACAAGCGAGGAAAACTAGTCAATGGACGAAAGGTGAATTCTTTAATCTCTTCATTTATTCTTATCCATTAATGATTGGTTTTCATGGGTGACCTTCATTCATTGTGTGTTTATCATTACACTCGATCAAATTATCAACAGGTTGTGCAGTTTAGAAGGTGAAGAAATGTGAAAGGAATTGAACAAGATGATGAAACAGTTAGTGGCTCCCCAAATTCGTCATCAATTATAATGCACAAAGGAAACTGGATCACCTCTGACTTTAAATGTAAGCCACCTTCTGCCAATTTATTTCTCTGACATGGACACTCAATCTCAGTGTCAATTGGATTGGTTTGATCTCTGCAGAAAATATTTGCACCTCTTGAGTATTTTCAAATTTAATCCTGTTCTGATTTCACCCTTTCAGAGAGATACAATAACAAATGTTAGCCCTTTGAAGACTAAAATTTTATCCCTTGATCCTGCTTGATCATTTCACAAATACAGGTCTTCATCAATAAAATGTCTTCAGTTTGTGATTTTGGACCATAAAATTTTCTAATTACTTTTCTTTCTCTGTTTGATGACCACTTGCGTGCTGGAACTTTGAAGAGGCGCATCTAAAGGAGATATTTCGCGGTTGTGTTTGAAATCAGTTTCACTCTTGGTTAATAGAAGTCATGCAAAATCACTACACAAAGCTTTGATGATTATAGGAGATAAAAGTGGTTCATAAATTTGCTAACTTGTGCATTCATAGCACAGAAAGAAATGTCCATCTGATTGAATATATGTGAACTAAGTAAGAAATTTGGATCTCTTTAATGTTTTTAATTAGCTGGCTAGATTTAAAATGAAAGCCAACAGAATGAGGAGGGAGCTGACGTGGCATACAGAGCTTATAGCTGGCACCGACATTTTGGTGACCAAAAATTGTGCCTTTAAATTTTAAACGAATAATATAAAGTGAGAAGAGCAACTTGTTCACTCCTCTGCTTTGTCCTGTTTTTCATAGCATTTTCAGTGCCACTACAACTTCATATTACATACCAGGATAGAATTAGCATGAAATATGCAGTATCTTCACTAATCCCTTTATGTTTTGGTTTTTTTATTGTCATACCTTTAAGTTGAACATTATTTTCACTGTCCCATCAATATTGTTGGTTTTGTGAAATGTTTCCATGAAGGTGGACCTGGAAGCCATAATTGCTTTTATTAGAGCCTTCCCGTTTGTGTGTTTGGATTTGAAATAGCAGATTTCAATGATGGCATAGGAAAATTAGAAATAAACCAATTAACTAATCATTATACTTCATCCTGGAAGGATATAATCAAATTCAAAATCAATGGTTGATCCTTATGCCATGAAATTGCTCTGTAGCAATATATATATTCAATATAAAATCCAAGTTCATTGAATGAGGCATATTCTATCTTGCTAAATATTGGAATAGAGTTCTAATTATTTTCAAAATAAGAAATACTAAACATGGCCTCTTATTTTAGACTTCAAACTAATCTCCAACACCACAATCTGAAACCAAATAATCAAAACAGCATCCAGACAAGGATATAGAAATCCCATTTCCTTCAATGTACCTAACATAAAGAACAACTGCATCGGATTCAAATCACAAATTACTATTAGTTTGCACCAGACAAACTACAAAGCAGCATACGAAAGTAAATAAATAGTGCTGAAAATGAAAATCTCAGGCTCAATACTAAGAATGAAAGAGGAAGCAAATACTTTTTGAAGTCTTGTAATGAACCAGTGAGGCAATGAAGTGTATGATTGAACTTCATGACCCAATAAAGTCATCGAGCCTACTTGCCTCATCTCGCAATGAGGCTAGGGATGCCTCAGCAGAGGCTAACTCATTTCTAAGAGTAGAAACTTTGGCTTCAGTCTCCTCAAGCTCTCTCATGAGTTCATCTCCATCACCACAGCTCTCAATGCAGCCATACACATAATTGAGCCAAGAAGCATCAAAACCAACTGCTTCTAAGGCAGTACAACACTCTCTGATATAGTTTCGATCATCCTCTTTCAAGTCGCGTCTCCGAGTAGTCCCCAAAATGCTAGTGACTTCAGTGAATAAGCCAGCGAATGCTCTTCGTGGCTTTGTATTGAACCAATCAAGTACTTGGGGATGCCGCTTCACCCCAACCTCCAAATATGGCAACAACCTGTCCACCTCCTTAAAGGTGCTGCAAACATCTGCTACAGGTGTTGTTGATGAAGATGAAGCTTTTGAAGCTTGTGAAGGAATTGGATCTATAACTGATGAGTAAATAAGTAGAAGGAAAAGTCAGGAAAGAAGATGACTCAAACTTTGCAACAAAATAAAGAAAAGTTATTTTCTTGCTTATAAAAGACTAAAATGCATTACCTGCTTGGTTTTCAGCCATTACAAGGTTTGTTGTCTGATGGGAGAAGTTATTTCTGTGAATTACTTCTGAGTCATCTGCTTTTCCTAATGTATTTCAAGTCACACAACAGAATGTTAGAAAAATTAATTAATAAGATGGAGATTCCCATACAAATTAATGAGTTATAAAACATCAATAAAGTAATGATAGTTAAAATAAGGTAGAATCTAGAAAACAATACCTGAAGTATTAGACCCTGTGTTCCTTTCTTTGTAGTTTCCAGCTATAGAAGTTGTGGTCTGGTTAAATAACTTCTTACCGAGAGAAATATCTGAGTCATGTAATTCTTCTACTTGATTTCAGTTAACAAAACAAAAAGTTAGAATCATTAATTAGTCCAAAAACTTCTATAACTCCTCTAACATAACAAAGAAGGTAAAGAATCGATATGGCAAACTTGGAGACAACAAAACTAGATCCATAAAATTAAACCTTTATTCTGTACTATGGTAATGTCCCGTGCATTTTGTCTGGCTTCAACAAAGGGTTTGTCAATGCTTTTATGCGTCACACGAGTACCAGTAGCTACATAAAGCAAACCAAAAAGGAAAGAAAGTAGAATGAGAAGATTTTGACAAAACACACATACTTTTTCCTTCCAAAAAGTATAAAACAAATTAATCAATACCCATGTCTTGAACTGAGGTAGTGATGAACATGTCTTCAGCGTTTGGAACCAACCGTCTTTGAAGTGAGGTATGAGTTAATGTGCTTTCAACAGCTTCAGCAAATGGTGTTGGAATAGCCTCATTCATCTCTTTAGTCCCGGTGGCTAAAGAGACAAATTTTAGGGGGGGGGGGAATTAAATGTCACCAGATTTGGCAATTTAAAATTGAATATTTTACTTCTTTAAAAACATAAAAACAAAAAAATTATTGGCGTTGTCATCAATCATAACCGATCCGATGTGACATGGATGGGCAAGTTTTCACATACAATGAATTTCCAAGTCTTTTGATTCGTCTTACAGTTTTTAATACATATGAAAGAGGGTTGGAATTTTAATTACATAGGGCTGCACAATATTGGGGAACACAAAACAATGTTATAATATCTAAACAACCATGAATGTGGCACCGCATAGAGCATAAAACTCAAATAATTCAAAAAAAAGAGAAAATAATGATACGATATTATAAAAATTAAAATGAATTACATTTCATACAAAGTAGAAAATGCCCTATTTTTTGTATTGTCAGACCATTGTAACTTGGGTGAACAGATTCTTGTTGAAATTAATTAGTAAGTGCTATTCTTTTGATCTTAAATATAAAATCTATTTTGTAAATAAGTCTTATATTAAAGGCCAGAGGAGTGATATGTTTCGGTTCATATAAAAATAAGTTAGAATAATCAATTAATTAAACCAGTGATTACTGTGCAAGAGAACTATTAAACATAGCAAATCAGTTTTAAACATTTGTAGAATACTTCTGGATCATCTAATTAATTTTCCTAATATATTTCAATTCACACGATAGAGTATTTGAAAAATTAATTAGTTAATAAAAGGGAGATTTCCGTAGACGGACCAATGAAAGCTACGTAATTAAAAAGAAAAGTAAAGGAGGCTAAAATAATGTGCCATATAATCTTGGTGAAATAAAATAATGTACAATCTTCAAAACAAACCGGAAGTATTACCCAAAAAAAAAAACTTAAGAAAAAAGCTTCTACAGGTAGCCTTTGATCCTTCGCCAAAACTTAGAGACTACAAAATAACATGATAATAATACCTGTATCATATAGCACGGTAGGACTCAGTACATTTTGAGCATCATGAATTGAGAACCTGCTCTTGGAATCGTTCTCCTCTTGAGTCCCAACAACTGCAAAAATAATTTCTCAGAGAAATTAGAAAATAGAATTACATAAGATTTTGGCAAAAGTGAAATAATTTTCCCCTTCAAAAAGTAAAGAAAAAAATTATTACCTTTTTTATAGTTTGCAGCCCTAGAAGTTATGGTCTGATCAAACAGATTCTTAGCAAGGTGAATATCTGAGTCGTATGATTCTTCTACTTGATTTCAATTAATACAATAAAAAGTTAGAATCATTATATCCAAATACTTCTATAACTTTTAATACACACACTTATAACAAACAAGTTTTATAAAAGTTATGGTGAATTTGGAGAGAATAAAACCAGATTCATTAAATTAAACCTTTCTCCTGTATTATGGTAATGTCCCATGCGCTTTGTGTAGCTTGAACAAAGGGTTTATCAATACTCTCTTGCGTCACATGAGTCCCAGTAGCTACACAAAATAAGTAAAACAAACCAAAAAGGGAAAAAAAAATAAATCAGAAGATATTGACAAATTACAGATTTTTTTCCTTCCAAAACGGATAAAATGCACTAATCATACCTATGTCCTGAATTGAGACAGGGATTAACATGTCTTTAGCATTTTGAACCGATAGTTTTTGAATGGTCTCATGCATTTCTTCAGTCTCAATATTTAAACAACCAAGTTTATTTTTGAGAGAAAAACTTAGAAAAAAAGTATCGCAACACAATAATTTTGAAAAAAGATAAATAAAATTCATTTCTTAGAAAAGCAATATTACTTTCTTCGTCATCGTTCAGAATAGATGCTGTGTCCCGGATGAGCAAATTTTCACTTGGATGAATTTGTAAACCTTGTGATCCATCTAAGTGCATTCCAATTCATAGAAGAAATTAATAAACCAGAAAGTACTATAATTTACATATTACAGCCATATTTTACATCATTTGATATGCATATTATATAGTCTACAAAAGAATACGAGTAGTAAGTACCTGCGTCATGAACTCCGGTGCTTAGAGCAATTTTGGTTGATTGAACCAATGGCCTTTCAACACTAATATCATACATCTCTTGATTTTGAAGAGCTACACAAATTTTTTGTGGGAAAGAAAATAAAACTCTGTAAACCAAATGGCGCTAATTTGCAAAAATAAAAGTAAATTAATTCCATCTAATAAAAAAAAAGGAAAACTTCATTACTTTTTTGCTGCCAATAATTTTAGAAGCTGTGGCTTGATTAAATATATTATCACTTAGATATTTGTGCCGTCTTCTTTTTCTATTAGATTTTAGCTCACTTATATTCAATAATTAAGCTAGAGAGAACAGTAAACCCAAATGTCATGAAAAAAGGAACTGAAAACAAAGATCAGTGCCTTCATTTTTGATCGATGAGGTCACGGCTTCCAAAGCTTGTGAAGGTGGATCAACAGCTACATAAACAAATCAAATGAAATTTAGAAAAAAAAGGACGATTTATATTTTAGGGAGAAATTCTTCATTCTGAAAAAAAGATGAAAAAAAAAAAGTTGCTCTACTTTTAGCTACTATAGGAGTTCATAGTTTGACTGGTCAAATTTTCGTTAGAAGTATATTTTTTGGATCATGTAATTTTTTTAGTATATTTTGATTTACATGGTACAGAGCTTGAAATATGAATTAATAAGAAATAGAGAGGATTAACAATTAATAAGAAATACATCATATCTAAATAGTTCAGATTTGATGAGTTTGGGTGCTCACCAAGAGTGATGAGCATCCCAACTCGTTCTATTAATGAGTTATTACAAATCAAACTAAAATAATAGAGTTGAGGCTTGGGAGCAATTCCTGTAGCAGTTGAGACAAGAAGACATATTAAGGCAGGAAAAAAAAAACATAACTTGGAGATTGTAAAATAGAAACAACAGAAAAAGATTAGTGTACCTGTTTCTTGAACTGAGGTCTGAGTTAATGTGCTTTCACCAGCCTCAGCTAATGGTATTTGAATAGTCTCATTCATCTCTTCAGTACAAATTTCGGCAAAAATAAATTAATAAATAAATTCTGCAAGATTTGGCAAATTAAAATGAAATATTTTTCTTCATCGAAAAAGTTTTAAAAAAAAAAATACTGTCGTCGCCATCAATCATAACCCATGTATAGATTTCCAATTACAACGGATTGTTTAAGTGTTATTATTCATCAAATAGATTTTAATACGTTGGCAAAAAATAATAGATTTTAATATATATGAAAGAGTTAAAATTTTAATTATATTGGGCTGCAGAATATCGGGGAACACAAAACAATGTTGTAATATCTGAACAACCATAAAAATAAGCTCATTAAGAAAAACCTTCAAAAGTATTAAGGATTAATTTTTGGGATTTATTTGATAATTAAGTACTAATAAGAAGGGGGCAAAAAAAATAAGAAGGGGGTAAAATAATAATAAATTCATCACTCCAAGCCCAAAAGTGATTTTGGGTTACTATCAAAGCCCAAAGTATGAAGCCCAAGACGTGCCACGTCTATGAATGAAGATGAGTTTTAGATTTGCGTGGATATTGGTTGATCCAATAGCTCCTCACTTCACCCACGTTGCGGAACAGAACAGAGACACGAAGTGAGACAGAAGCAGCAGAGGACATCGGGGAAGAAGGAGGGCACGGTACCCACATGCACCAATGGTTTTAGGACAGGGTGAGTCTCCTAAACCTTTCCCCCATCTCTATTTTCTTCAATGGTTGCTATTTGGGAATGAAGGGGCCGATTGAAATCTACTTCTTTTGAGGCAGAAGCAAACGTCCTTGCGGGTGAGGATGGTTTGGCATAGTTTGAGCTTCCTAAGAGCAAAATTTAATGTTATATGTGTGAATCGTTGATGCTGTTGGCTGTGCTGATAAGTGAGATGGTTTTTGAACCCAAAGCCCCCTGTCCTAATGAGTGTAGTATCGGATTCACATTAGAGAAGGGAAGGAAAGTTTAAATATTAGTATAATGTATGTGAAGATTGAGTGACTGTGGGTTGAGTTTTGCTTTTAGTTGATGAATATATCTTTTGAGTGTTAAGATATAAACAAATAAATATAGAATAAGATCTGAGGTTGTAACAATAATAAAATAAGTTTAACTAGAGAGGAGTAATATAGAAAGCCACTAGACTCTGTAGAAAACAAAATTAAAGCCAATATTTGAGCAGTACAACGATCATTTACAAATAAACGAGGAATACAAGACTGTTTTAATCAGTACCTGTATGTGGAATAGTGTGTTTGCGTATTTCTTGCTTCCCCGAATTATCAATTTCGTTAGCCTTTGATTCTGCTCCATCTTCCTCGCAGCTCAATGCTCTGCTTGTGCTCGCACTCTTTGGAAGTGGAAAATAGAAGGGAATCAATGCAAACTAAACAATATAAAAATCGGCTTTTCTAAATGTTGTGCATGGATAGATAGATCACCCAAGCTTCACCCTGGTCATGGATAGATCACCCAGGTTCGGGTCCATAAGCAGTGACAATTGCCCTATGAAGACTCGCTTTCGCTACGGCTTCGGTGGGTTCCCTTAACCAAGCCACTGCCTATGAGTCGCCGGCTCATTCTTCAACAGGCACGCGGTCAGAGCCCCGGGCTCCTCCCACTGCTTGGGAGCTTACGGTTTCATGTTCTATTTCACTCCCCGATGGGGGTTCTTTTCACCCTTCCCTCACGGTACTACTTCACTATCAATTGGATTTCAATTGGTATTTATTCAATTTAATATTTAAGTTTTCAATTCGTTTATTTTCTCCATTGTATTCTTTTTTCAACATTAATATTGACAACAGTGTATCAAACAAATATAATCCGATCGTGAATAAATGGATCCATTTATTCCCGTTCCATAGGGTTTCCAGTTTGGGTAGAAGTACCTGCGATCAACTCAACAGTTTCACCGTTCGTTATAAACTATACTTGGGATAAGTTTGATAAAAACAAATACATCATTTGAGTAAACTCTGTTTCTGGCAAAATAACGAGCAAACTCTGTTTGGAACAAGCCAAGCCCACGCCACGTACTTCGACAAGTTTTCAAAAATTGAAGGCATACAGATTTGGTCAGTGATTCATTCCGGCGTTCATGCCTCCGTGTTAGGGGGTTTTGTGCAGTCCACAAGTCCATTTAGCGACAAAAAGGATTATATGGGACTTAATATGCCTATGGCATATGGTACAACACTGGATGATTTGCCACGGTAAAAAGAAATAAATTTTGATTGTTTATGTCACTTCATTGTATGCAATTACTTATATGCTTATCAAAATGTTCAACAAATACATGATAATTACATTGGAAACCAATAATATGAACTTGACAGGTACGATTAGTGAAGAAAATCATAGCTGTTATCTGGGAAACATGTATAGTTATCATGTTTTTGCAATAGAAATTGTTTGATTGATTGACTGTAATAACATACGCAATTGCATTTTCTCTGTCTCAATTAGTTAATTTTAATTTCACTTCATTTTGTTGGATTTACTCCTCTAATTTTTTAAATATTTTTTGAAGTTTTTTTTAAATATTCTAAACAATAATAATATTTAAGCTATTAAAAGACGCTGACATTAGAAAAAAAACAAAACACACAACCAGCTCATCTTCACTTTGCCTCATGTCTTCTCCCTGTCAGCAAACATGACAATATGATTTATGAACCCTCGTTTAGCGGTTGTTTAAAATCTCAAAATATTAAAATTTATATATAAGGTATTTAATTAAAAGAAATATATAATTTATATGTCTCATAAAACATTTGAATAATGTTTTCACTTTTCCCCCCAAATATCTCGTATGTATTAAAATCACTTTATAAACATATATATTTCTCAGCACTTCAATGCCGCATAAAACAAAAAACACAAGGCTGTGCATAGAGTTCATAAATCACGCTGTGAAGCACAAGTGTAAGAAGAGCAAGGCTACGCAATGGGCATCATGGCTTCTAAACTAGGCTATGAATGCAAAGGACTCTACAAGATTATTCTCCAGAGCTTATTGACTTCTTAAACATAATTTAATTGGCAGAGAAAAATGTGACTAAATAAATAAAATTGTTCCTTGGATGTTTTCTACGTTTATGTGTACAAGATTATTTTAAGTACATTTCCACAGCTCTATACAAGTGTGTGAGAGAGAGAACTTAGAAGC